GTTTGTGAGGGCGATTAATGTCGATGGGACGAGGCATGTGCTGGATGAGGCGAAGAGGGCGGGGGTGAAGGCTTTTGTGACGACGAGTAGTGCTAGTGTGGTGCAGAAGGAGATGTTTAGGGATATTGAGGGGGGTGATGAGAGGTTGCCTATTGCCGAGGAGGGGGATGATACGTTGGCTTATCCCAAGACCAAGGTGAGTCTTCATGATGTCTATCTCAAGCCAAGTTTTTTACTGACAAAACGCAAAGGCCGCCTCGGACAAGATGACGCTAGAATATGACGACCCCTCCGGCATGCGAACCTGCACCCTCCGCCCCGCCGCCGTTCACGGCGAACGCGACAACGACATCACACCCGCCATCCTCCGCAACCTACGCCTCGGCCGCAACAAGATGCAAATCGGCGCCAACAAGAACCTCTTTAGCACAACCTACGCAGGCAACGCCGCAGACGCACACCTCGCCGCGGCCGCCAAACTCCTGAATGCACCAGACGGCGTCGCAGGCGAAGCCTTCTTCATCACCAACGGCGAACCGGTCCCCTTTTGGGATTTCAGCAGGACCGTGTGGCGGGCTGCTGGGGACGAGACGAAGATTGAAGATGTGAGGGTTATTAATATGACGTTTGCGCTGGCGTATGTGTGGGCTTTGGAGTGGGTTTATTGGTTCAAGGGGGAGGTGCCGCCTTTGACGAGGCAGGTTGTTAGGTTTTCGGGGATGAGTAGGTGGTATGTTATTGATAAGGCGAAGGAGAGGTTGGGGTGGAAGCCGGAGGTTAGTCAGGAGGAGGGGATCAGGAGGGCCGTTGAGTGGTTTCTCGAGAAGGAGAAGAGGGAGGCGGCTGAGGGAGGGCAGTGAGATTGATGTGTAAGGGCGAAGGTCGTCTGGTCGTATATGATAATATGGCCCTGTATCAACTCAATTATTGTGAGGTGTGCGAAATAAAGATTAGTACTGTGGTCTTGATATCAGGTTGGTATTAGGTCTTTCATTCACCTTTCCACCAACTTCCACATTCGGATCCCATCGCTCCATGCTCAGTTTTATTCGAGGTTCAGCGGGTCCCTGGATGCTAGGCTGGAAGCCTCAAGCCAGTCGGGGGATAGGAACGGGACTGCCGTGAGACGAGGCTGACTTGGTCTGTTGTTGAGTTTGCCTGGACGAACTCAGCATGAGCGACATCATCTCCTTCCCCGTTAGCTAAGAGGCCACAGATATCGCCAGGCGAGTGGAGAGCAGTCAACATGAACCGTCACATGGGAGCCAGCACGATCTCGTATTCACCTCCGTCAGGATAATTGCTCATTACTGCGCTAATCACCGAAAACTACTCTCGAAACCTTGGTTACAAATGGAATTAAAGATAACTGAAATGGAACTGAGCAATCTTCACCATCCGAGCCTCAACCTCGACCGAAGAAACCCGCCCTTCCCTTGCCACGTTCTCTCGGATGCACCCCGGTTGATAACTCAGACTGACCGGCTTGCATGGTATCGCTCGAGTTCTAAGCCTGCTATGTGGTGTGCGAAGTCCCAGACCCGAATCACCGAACTACCTTCCGCGTGATGAGAGCTGTATTTGACGTGGTGGTGGTCACGCAGGACTAGTTACGGGTGTCAAATCCTGAGTATTAAAAGTTAGTGGTCTTGATGGTTCGTTAGGTAGCAGCGAGAACTAACCCTGCGGTTGTTTCCGACTTGAGGCACGTTGTCTACTTCCTCATGATCAGAATCGTCTCCATCGTGCTCTCCGTTGCCGACTGGCGGTGCGTTCAGCCAGGTCATCACTTGAAAAGCCGCCTGGGGATCTCCAGCCTCTTGGAAATAGCGATGAAGGAGGGCTCCTGTCTCCCGTGTCCGAGGGTGGCCTCGACTGAGATGTTTGGTCTCCACCTGCACCACCTTGTCAATCAATACAGCTGCTTGAGGTGCGCCGCTAACAGAACTCAGCAGTGAAGCAAGCTCCTTCATGTTGTCCAGGGTCTCTTGGCTCTCTTCGCCCGGGTCCGCCCTTTGTCTTTCCAGCAATTTCTCATGGACTTGGATTGCTTGAGGGTACATCCCCAGTTTGGCGAGATCGATGGCCAACAGGAGCTGGGTCTGGTGGGTTCTGACATCTTCCTCACCAAATTGGCTTCCTTGATCCCTGAGCAGATTCTCCCGTAGTCTGAGAGCCTCCAGTAAGGTATCCTCTCTGCCTTCGCGCGAGAAGAAAGTTGCCAAGTAACTCCTGAGCGTGAAGGTGGCATCCAAGTCCGTCATAGTGTAATTCATAGTGTGTGCCTCATCCAGTCCATCCCTCAAAAGGCTGTAAGCTTCTTCGAGACGGCCTACTCTCCACAGCGCGTCCGCAACGTTACCGACGGATACAAGATAAACATCAGTCCCAGCCGCGTCAGCGGTTACTTTTGTATTGCGAAAGGCCAGAACATATTCCTGTTCAGAGAGAGCTTCCTCAAACTTGGAAACAGCAGTGTAGCTGTGACCCAAGTTGGCTCTTGCTTCGTTGGTATGAGGATGACCTTCTCCACGAACTCGCTTCCACGAGGCCACGGCATCTTTTCTGCGGTCGCACACCTCTTCCTTTTCTGCTTGAGTGTGGGAGAGGAGGCTCTTAGTGTCGATGAGTCGGTCAAATGCATGCAAAGTGTCGGGATGGTCGACGCCGAGAAGCTCAAGCCTTGCCTTGTAGACTTTCTGTCGCAATGACATTGACTTGAGAAGCTGTCCGTCCCAATCATAACTGTCACCTAGCGCACTCTTGGCTTCAAAAATACGCAGACGCTCTCCTGCAATGGCAGAAACTCTTGTCTGGAGATCACGGACGGTTTCTTGCCGTAGTTGAAGACCTCGGCGTTGGCGTCCGACTCCGTGGAGGAAGTCTGCCACCAGAAGCCGTGTTCGCACCATTTTGGCATCATCGACGGGCAAGTTGTGGGAACCACACATGGCAAGCGCCGTTTCCGCCATGAACAATGCCTCCATCCGCTGCTCAGTCGCCCATAGAGAGCCCGCATAGTTGATTTGAGCTGACCATAGAAAATCGAATCCTGATCCCCACTGTTGACACGCTTGGATGACACCGGGTTGATACTTCAGGGCCTCTTCGTGTTCGCCGGTGTGAAAGTAGCAGTCGGCGAGCTGTTCATTAACTTGCAGAGTCCATGTATCGGGGATCGAGTGATCGTCGCAAATTTCGATGGCTTTCTCCAGAACGTCCTTCGCATCTCTGAAGTGACCTGTGGATGAATATGCGTTTGCCAGTATGAGCATGATCTCCAGGCGTCTCTCAGTCTCAGCGAGTTTCACCCAACTACCCATCAATCCATTTGAAGTAAACGCTTCCATATGGGGTATCATGGATTTTTGTAGATCAACACCCAAGGGGTCATCCATCCGCGATGCAGTCGTGGAAATCGGTTCATTGGCCAAGGCCAATGTTGACAGACAAGTTGCTCGATACACATACTTCTCCCGATCCTCTGCTGAGAGCGACTCCCTGCAATAATTTGTACGAGCTTGTTCATCGAATACTTGCTGGAGTACGATGCATCGCAGACAAGCAAACTGTACCGACACAGGGTATTGAACGCCTTACGGAGACCGGTTGTGCGCCACTGAGTACTTCCGGCATTCAAAAGCGGCACTAGGGGCGCCCAGTGTGCCCACTGCGAAGACCCTCCTGAGAATTCCGTCGTCAAGTTGATCCAGGCTTTCTCAAAAATCTGCTCCGAGATGCTTTCATTATGAAAAAAGCAAAGGGTCCGAAGGAGCTCCATGGTCTCCGGCGAGTTCTTGACGAGGGCCATGGTGGTGCTCAATGCGTGTAAAGCGGATCTGCTCTGGCCACTCCCCGGGGGCAAGTCAGGCAGGTCTTCGAGGCTTGTTTGAAATGATTGGTCGAAGTCATAGCAGTAGTCCAAGAGGCTGTTTGGGTTTATGGCAATGTAAGAACCGGCCTGTACAATGGCCAGCGGGAGCCCCCCAAGTGTTCGAGAGGCCAAGTCGTCGATCGCCACCCACTCGTCTTCAGTAAAGTCCTTTGCGGCATTCACGAAGTTGTGTACCAGTTCGTTGGCATCCCATGGATCCATTGAGGAGATAATTTCCTGACTATCGCAGTATGGAGCGAGCTGTCCGTCAACGGTTGTAATAATAATGGCGCCACAGCCTTTTTGAGGAAGATAGTCATTGAGATCAGTGGCCAAAGAGGGTTCGAAATTGTCGATGAAGAGAATCCAGGGTCCTTCAAGGCTGCTAATCCAGAATCTCGTGAGTGAGAGCTGTTGAGAGATGTCCTCTTCGGAGTTGATGCCAGACGTGTCTATCAAGGTCCCGCTGACTCGAGCTATGGCAAGGTAGCTACTGTTCGCCGACTTTTTATTGCTGGCGTCGACGTAAAAGACTGCTCTGAATCTGATAGTGATGAATGTCAGAAGAGTCAATACGCGAAGTGGAATGAAACAGCGTACTTGGATTCATTTTCAGTAATGGCTTGCAGACAGATTTGACTCTTCCCAACGCCAGTTACACCGTGTACAAGAAGCTTCAATGATCGGGGACTGTCTCTCTTTGGCGTCCCACAACGGACTGTCTGTCCGAAGGCATGATGGGAACTGTTTGCGTTTCACAAATTTCGACGCTAGAGCCGGTCGTTCATTGCGAATCTCTGGCCACACAATCTTCGGTGCTACTTGTTCTTCCTGGCGCTGAGCTCGGAGACGAGGACCTACTAGGAGTATATCCATGTGTTAGTCATCGCATTGGCATCACTATTGAGTGGGCTTGCGCCGGAGTCATAGGATGTGGCAGGTACCTGTGTAAAACTCACCACCACTTTGATTGTCTGAATCCATCTCGATATCCGACGAAGCAGGACTGGGCGGCAGGCCGGGTTTTCTGACAGCTGGTTCTCGCATCCGGGCTTGAGTTTTGGAGCTCAAAGATCCTGGCTGCTCGTTGTACCTGGCCTCCTCAGGCGTTCCTACATGTATTGAGTCAATGAGTCGCACGTCCGTATATTGATGGTACTATAGTGATCTTACGAATATGAAGATCCGAGTCGGATTCGACAACGCTGATCTCTTTCAACACTTCTTTCGCGTATGCGGCAGCCATTGCAGCCGCGTAAGGCTGCCACTCCTTCTTCTTCTGCTCGTCCCCATAATCGCATACCCCTCTGATGACACCGACAGCAAGACGGTTCATGATTCCTGCTGCCTCCATCTCTAGACCAATTATGCTGTACTGGTCTCTCAAAGCGTCCCTCTTCTCGGCATTCTTCATCAATTTGTCACCGGAGCCGAGCGGCCCATACCACACTTTGGTACGCGCGGCATTGTTTGGCCGTGGCTCCCGAGGAACAACGACTCTCTCTCCGATTGTATTCGTCCCGATTAACTCGTCTTGAGGTTGGCCAGGATCCTTGAAGTCGCCATTCGAGTGCCTTTCGTCTTGCATGGCTTTGAAGTGGTCCAGGAATCCGTTGATAAGACCCTCAGGATCCGAAACCTTGATCCTTCCAACAGCAGATCCCACAATGGTCTGCGTTTGATTTTGGCTTCGTCCTCCACGAATGAGATTGAGTCCCTCGGATGTTTCTTTGCCGAGTCCGTAAGGTACTATAGCAGGGACTTCGCCATCAGAGAGTGCAACGAGTACATCTCCAAGACGTATGTCTCGTTTAAGGCTTGGAAGCCCTGCTGCGACACCAACTAGTAACGTGAACCAGAGCTTAGGGAAGAGGAGCTTCATCTGGCTAGCGAGAGCTGCTGCTGACGCTATGCCATATTCTTTTCCAAGGGGAAAGGTGCCGATAACAACGTTGTGCCCGCACATGCGACCCGCGATGAAGTTGTAGTCATGGCCCACTCTTACTGGAAATCTGCCCGTGTGCTGAACATCGAGCATGCACATGGCTGCCCGAGCCTCGATCTCGAGCGGAGCAATCCATGCCACCTTGTAATTGTTATAATCTAGATGAGCCATTAAATCCCACTGTCGTGAGGTATGAAGTAAATCTTGGGACTGATGGGATAGTACGAATTAAAAAGCGAAAAGAATGATGAGACAGTGACAATCTGATTGAAACGATGTGATAGTAACGAGGTGATCGAGTTTACGTGCGAAATGATTGAAGCGAGACGATACAGACGAGATGACAGAAGCGAAACTATTGTACTTAGTTAAGGACTTTAGTAGGTATGAGTTGAAACAATGGAAAGAAACTTGAAGCCTATCGCCGAGTCTTCGAATAGTTGCAAGGCTTTCCCAAATCCTAGTCCTCAATGTGTTGCGGAGACACTGCAGCTCAGCCCCTTAGGCACGAAGCAGTCACCTATGGTAGTATTGATAAAGTTAGCAATTGGCGGAATGACCAACCGGAGTGTGTACCCGTAACCGCTGTCTCATGTAGCCGCCGTGCTGTACGTCAAAGGTTGCTTTCGCTCCTCCGTTGGAACTACAGCCAATTATCATCTCCATATTGTGCGGCACTGGGCATGTTTCCGGGTTGGCTTGCACCAACAGCCGGAGAACCGCCGCCGATCCCATGCCGTCGGACGATTTCAAGGCATGAACACCGGCGTGCCTTGTGTTACTGCATGTCTTCGGCATTCGATCTGCGAGTAAAATGTTTCACAAAGCTGCAAGTTAAAATTGAGTGGAAGACAATGCATTGTAAAAGCTCCTCAGGGGTTGCCTACATGCATCTTCCCATAAACGCCTTGCCTGTTGAAAACAGAGCGTTCGTCCGGTAGGAAGCCGATGTCGTACGGCCGAGTGCTGAGAAGCGCCGTAAGACAAAGTCCGATATCAAGACAGAGTCGGTACACGTAAGTTGCCATGAGCACGATATAACAAGAATAGTATGAAACACATTGCGTGAAATCGTCTTCTTTCATTGGCGGTTGCTGGCGGGACACCTTATGCATCCGCCCTCAAGATGGCTAAAGTTTCCGTGAATGCCTTGGCCAGTTGCACACCACCACGCCAGATATCGTTGTGCGCAACATCGAGCTCGACCAGGTGTGTCTTGCTCTCCAATTCAGGTAGCGAGTCCAGAGTAGCTTCTATCGACTCGACCTGGTCCCAAGGCACAAGTCCATCATTCCTACTGTGCGCCAAAACAAAGGCCTTCAGGTCAAGGTCCGCGTATTTCCGAGCATCAACCTTGGCCGGGCTGGCCTCTATCAATTGGTCTTCCCTTATGGCGTTAAGTACGAGATAGTCATATCGGGGTTGGTGATGTGGAGCAGAGGCAAGTCGTAAATGCTGCTGATCCCTAAAACAGCCGCGGGCTTGGGCACGGCGGGGTCCTCGAGAGTCTCCAAAGCCGTGAAGAAGGCTATTTGGGCGCCCACAGAGTGACCAGAGACAATGTAGTTGCCATCGATCGGATAATGCTTGCTGAGGTCCTTGAGTGCGGCGACGGTATTGATGAGATGATCGGGCCACCTGGCGTTCTGTAGCTCGTTTGTTGGCGCGTTGTTGGGTCGAACACCGGGGAGTGCGGAAAGACGGTAGTCTAGAGATGCAATTCCTGCGATCTGATTTGCGAGCACGTCTGAGCTGTTTGCCTCGAGGGAAGCGATGGCTGGAAGGATGTCCGTTGCGTTCTGGGCAAAGTTGCGATAGAAGCCTCCGTGAATGTATACCAGCCAGTACTTGTCGGTCGCCACGGTCTCGTTGTTCGCGGCCGACGGGATGTAGACGTTGTAGACTTGGCGAACGTTGGGGCCGTATGAGTAGGTGGTTGTCTTTGCGGTAGCCATGGCGGCCCCGACTAGCATTGAAGCAGCGGAGGCAATTGAGAAACGCATGCTGATTACCTTAGTTGTTTCTTCTATGACTTCCAGATGTTGCGGGAATCAGGGCCAGATATTATATGTAATTGATTCTCGGAAATCCCAGCGCGAGGGGCACGTTGCATCCTGTATTCCTCAACTGGGGTAACTAGGCTCAAAGGGCGGGATTCCTCCGCTTAACAAATAATCAACGGCTGTACAGACCAGCCTAGCCCAAACGTCAATCGATTGTCGGTGACGCAGTCCCACCAGAGCTTTATGCCAAGGATTGTATCATTTGCCTATCAGCGGCCGAGGAAACTACCCCAGGAATCTTAGCGGATGAGACTTCACTTAATTATCGCGCACCATATTTGACATATCCGGCATCCGCTCCGCGTGGGTCGCCGAGGATCCCGGGTTACTAGTGCTGACAACGACATGGAGTTGGAAGACTCTTCAATGACGTTTGCGACTAACTCTAAGCGAGGACATGAACACGAAGTTGAGATTCGATAGCGAAATCCGGAAAACAGAGTTTACTGAGCTTTGCGTTGCAATTGAGAAGACAACCTTCATCTAATCACGACTTCTATGTCATACCTTAGTGCCCACATTCAGGGACCGATATTAACATGCAAAATCACACCTCAAGCAATCATATTGGGTGAAGACTATCGATTCACCATAATTCATGGTCTATGATTTAGTACCTGTGAAAACCTCCACTACCAGGGTAGGGTCCAAAACCTTACGCTAGCAAGAGTTGAAACACTTCGTTCAACTCCTGTAAGGAGCTCACAATATGAGATTGCCGCTCTTTGATCCAGTCATCCAGATCCTGTAGCGCCTGCTTCGAATTGCCAATCATACGCTCCATCTCCTTGGGCTGTGGGCCTCCCAAGGTGGCTCTATGCTTGATGATCCCGGCCGGATCAAGCGCTTCTTGGAATTCTGCCTCACTCAGAAACTGATATGATCCATCATCAAGGCCTGCGTGCTTCAATGTTTCCTTGAATATTATAGATGCCTTCGCATAAGGGAAGTTGCTCGGGGACAGGTCTTCCGCCTTGGCATATCTGACAGTTTCTGAGGCAAAGTGATGCCCAACACGGAATGGCACCTTGTGCTCACGCATAAGGAAATCGGCTAGTTCTTGCGAGGCGGTCCAGTCGAGATCCAGTTCTTTCAGAGATCGTTCGCCGTCAATGACAAGTGCGTTGAGAATGCGTTGCCATTGTGCGAGAACCTTCGAGGTGCCGTTGATAATAGCCAGATTGTGACCAAGGTCCTTTGCGTCGCCGTATCCAGGCGGGAGATTATGTCCTTGTATGGCACGACCAACCCCCAAAGTCACAATGTAGGAAGCATCGGCGCGGGTGTGATTCAGTAGGCCCGGATTTCTCTTCTGCGGCATAGCACTCGAGACGTACGTGTTCTCACCTCCCTCTTGGAGGAGAATCCAGGGTTTTGGCTGGGCGTACTGATTCATGACGTCCTGGATGTAGGCGCCGGTATGAAGAGCAATCTGAGAGGCGATACCTCCGAGCTCAACTGGCATTTCGGCCATGGAGATTTGCGCGGCATCGTAGGCATTGTCGACAACTTGCGCGAAGCCGAGATACTTGGCCATTTGTTCCCGGTTCAGAGGCCAACTTGTGCCATTGAGCACGGTCGTGCCCATTGGACATCGGTCTAACCGGGCAAAAAATTGCAGCAGTCTCTCCGCGTCGCGATGAAGGCCTGCGATATGGCCTAACAAATAGTGACCGTACGAGTTGGGCTGAGCTGCAACACCGTTGGTGTAGTTTGGCACCAGTGTCGAGATATGCGTTTCCGCCAGTTCGAGCAGACGATTTGTTGTCGCGTGAAGCTGTGAAGCTAGCTTAAGGACTGCATCGCGAAGGATCGCAGTCGAGACTGTGGCAAGCATATCTTGACTCGAACGGCCGGCGTGCAGCAGAGTTGCTTCAACCCCAGCAGCTTCGATGAGGAGAGGCTCGAAGGTGATGACAAGGCTAGGACGCGGCGCGTTGGGCTCGTTGCCGGAGTCTAAGAGTTTCTGGAGTCCGCGGCTAATGCGACGGGCTGCATCTTGTTCCAAGAGACCTTCTGATGAGTTGATGACGGCGCTGGCCTTATTGATTTCACCGAGCCAATAGTATGTGTCCCGACCAGGGACCGGGACGTTTTCCGGCGAGACTGCGAGACCGGGCATGATGTCTGGCGATGAAGCAAAAAAATGTTGGAAAATGATCAGGGCGTGAACTTGAGTTTCGTCGTTCTAACTTTATCGTGGTATGACTTCGATTATATGCTGGAGGCTGCGTTGGAGTCTGGGAGATAATGGAACTTTGAGAAGTTGAGTTGGAGATAGGGTAGACCCGGCGGGGGTAGATAATAGAGTGGACCCGAATGAGGCGATGCATCTGCAGCGTCGATCGGAGCCGACTCGGTTATCAAGCCGTATTCAGCACATTAGTCTTTGCTGAATTTTGAGGGTCGTCTCGTGTTCATGACTTCAGCTTACAATTGAACTTCGATGACTCAAAACGTACCTTATGATAAGTCGATGTAACGTCATCGGAGCTTGGGATCCGAGGCCAGTGCCGATTCGCAACACAGCTAAGTCTTGTTAGCTCAGAAGTTCCGTGGAACTGCCGTGTTTCCTCAACTTCATGGCCGATGGTTAACGCAGATAAGATTATTTCAGCATGTCACAGCTTTTGATGAATTTGGCATTACACCATACTTTCATTAAATTCCTACATTACTGTCTGGATACCTCGTTTCATTACGTGGGCGCTTGAGTATCTCGGACATTGACAAGTGCCTCGGCTGCTCTTGCCTCATAGTCATCATCTTCGTACATGTAGCTCTTAAGAGTTGTTGCCAGTTGCGACACCCCAGAAGTACGCCGACCAAGCACCCAGAATCAACACAATCAAAGAGCTGAAGCAAATCATAGAGATCCGCTTGTTGCGCGCTCCATTGTCCTCGTAGAAAGCTCTCTTTCTCTCATTCCACAAGTCGCCGTTGGCCCTGCGCTGCTTTCTGGTCCACTGGAGGTTACCCAGATCGATGGACCACCAGGACAGGACGCCCAGCATGATTGAGACCAAGACGGAAGCAGCAGCAAGAACGGCGTAGACGATGACAACGTGGTCATAGCTGTCGTTGTCGGCATCCTGGATGGCACCGGTGATGACACGGACGATAATGTTCATCCTGTGGCCTGTTAGACATGGATGACTAGGATGAGATGGACCAAGAACTTACGCGTTGTTCGTGGCAATCTTGACAGCGTAAGCGGAGCCAAAGACAGATCCGTGCCACATGGAAGTACGGATACTGTCGATGATGGTGGTAGGGCCCAGAGTGAACGCAACGGCGTAAATGCCAAAGGCGGCAGCAGTTCCTTTGGTACCCGTGGCCCAGTTGATGAGAGCCATGGCTAGGAAGACTCCGGTACCGCAGATGGCCACTAGATGGATTAGAAACTGGCAGGATCGTCGTAGGTAGGTTGATGACTTACACAAGGTGATACGGTTACCCAGGAGATCGATGAAAGCACCAACGCAGGGTACCAAGAAGAAGCCGGCGTACTGCAAGGTTGCCGAATACCAACCCGCAGTGATGGAGTCCGTCTTGAACCTCTTCTCAGCCAATTCCGTGGCGTTCTGCGAGAACACAATCGCAGTGCTGGTTTGGAACAGGGAAAACGACAGGATGGCCCAGAAGACCCACGGCAGCTCCAGCACTTTCCTGACTTCGAACTTCTTGGACTTCTCGGTGAGCTTTTCGCCGGTGGCCGGGTCCGTCACGTTGCCAAACTTCTTATGAGCAATGGTGTTGAAGCGATAGAAGACGAGGGTGAGAATATTGGTGAAGACGTTCATGAAGACGGCGATCCAGAAGACCCATGCGAAGTTGCCGGTGTTCTTCGCAATGATGTTGGCCGAGGACTTGCCGACGAAGCCGCCGATTTTCTTGATGCCAAGTTCAAGACCGAGGGTGGAGGCGAAACCGTTGTTGGGCGAGAACCAGGAACTGAAGACCTTGTACTGGGCGACCTGGGTTGCGATGTCACCGAGGGCAAGGATAACTCGGCCGCCGATCATGAGCTTGAAGTCCCGGGTCTGAGCTGCGGCGGCGACGATGATGGAACCGATGGAATAGATGACGTTGCCTGCCATTACGTTAGTTGCCAATGTCTCTAATAACCTTAGAGGCGCAAAAACTTACCGTAAAGCATGGCACCGGCACCGCCGATTCTGTCCGTCACGATACCGCTCGTGAGAATGAGCAGAGTTACCATGAAATCTTCACTGGCTTCAAGCAGCGAGAACTGCTTGTTGTTGATATCGAGCTCTTTTTTGAGCGTCGACTTCAAGGCGCCCGTGATACCCGAACTCCATGACGAACCGAAGCTGATGCAGGAGATCAAAATGACGGCGATGATCTTCCAGTATATCGGGGGATTGGGCTTGAGGTCGTCTTCCGAGTCCGAGGATGATGACTCGGGAACCTCGTTGACGAGGTCTTCGGGGTGTTTCTCCCGGTGAGACTCGAGATCTGCGCGGGCCGCCATTATCGTTTGATAGTACCGGTCTCTCGGTAGCAGTCTAATGCACGAATGATGGGTGAGAAGGACAATGGAGCGAGGTGAGAGCAGCCATTGAGGCAGCGCCCGTCTTCCTATTTATTCAACCTTTGTCGGACGGTAACCGAACTGTGTTGGTTCGCAAACCCGAGATCGGATCGAGACGGCACGGCGAGAAACGTAAGACTTGGCTTGGAAGAAGGCAACTCGGACGATGGAGAATCCCATCAGAGGACTTTTCCTCTCACATTCAAGGTTTTCTTTGCTCTAGACTAGTGCGCCAAGCACCATGAAGGCGCTCGGAGATGCATCTGATAAGATTAAAAAGGCTAGAAAACCCCTTTACGAGTCAGGGATATGCTAGTCCGAACCGTCCCGTTCAGCTCAACGACCTGTCAATGCTCTGCTTTCAATCCACAGCGGGGTTGATGCGAAGTGGAGTGTCAAGCAAGTGAGAATTTTCTCACAGTGAGGAAATCGTGCATTCGAGATTCTCCATACCGCCAGCTCTTTGGGCCAGTGAGAAAGCCGTTGGGAGCATTTTTGGCCGGGTGCAGATGACGACTTGTGATTTCATCCGGGGGAAGTTCCATCAAGCTACTTGAAAGTCTCGGCTTTCGGGTGGGCTTTGCCACATGGGGGCAAGGATGGCGTGGTTTTCAGCCGTATGTGGGCGCTGACCCTCAAGTGGCATCTGACGATCTCGAAATCTCACCGTGAGGAATTGAAGCCTTCGACATTGCCTCCAGTCTTCAGCACGGGCAAGGTTGGTCAGCTTTACTTGCACTTGGCGTAAAGCGGACGACGCGTCTCATCCGGAAAGTGCCGCAACAATACACTTGTTTTTAATACTTGTCTTGCCCATTCGGTTCGAGAACATGAGAAACTCGGTGGTGCCGCTGCTCTAGGAACCTGTCATCAGACCGAGAAAAGCGATTTGTGTGTTCCGATTTCCGGTGAAGGCAGCTTTCGGGCTTACTAAGCAGCAAACACCCACCCCGCTAAACACCTTTGTGTTTGGATCTTGTGTTCAAGCTCTTGCCTTTTATCAGATTTAACTGCACTCTCAGCTCATACTTGTAATTCGTGAGTTGAGGTCGTGTGACTTGAGGCTGTTTTCTTCCCCGGCTGTTTGTGTGGCATCAGTCGCCCGTGTTTTCGTGACCGCGTCATGAAGCCCCTCTGCCAATGGTCTGTGCGCGAGAAGATGGCAGAAATTCTTCATACTTGTCGTTTTTTAAGACTTTACAACTCCACGAGCATGACCAAGTCACAAAGTCACAATACGTACAGGGCCATCAACTTAAGATGTTGTTTGCACTCGTAATCTCATCTGGCTATGATCCGAAGCTAGTTCTGCGAAAACATGGGTTATTCTCCACTCTCGAAACGAATGCGCGAGACGAGTCAAAATATTCTCCTCCTGAGATGTTCTCGGTAATAGGGTTGCCCAACGAAGAGAGGAGCAGGCGTCCGATGTAACATTCTGACTTCAGAGCTGGATCATACTTTGTTCTGATAAACCTGAGCTTTGACGGGGAATAGTCATAACCTTGAGCGCTGCATCCCTAAATTGGTCCGATTGTACGAAATCTGATGTTCACCTATGAATTACACCAACGGTCGAGGGCTCTATTTGCCACGGTGAGAGTATTGTGCCTTGGCTTTTTGGTTACTTTTCAGCCTCGGTGAAACAGCAAGAAGGCCTGATAGATTCTCAAGAGACTTCTGTCGCGTGTGCTAAAAGCATGCTAATGGCTCAAGAAATGCACTACATCAAACGCATAAGCTGGTCGATTCAGTTGAAGTATGCAAGGGATCAGAGCGACACATCAATTGCTAAAGAGCTAATCAGAGACAATGAAGACCTAGCCCTAGAAATAATAGTCCATCCCATGCATTCTCGACCATCGTTCCAGGTGAGAGCAGATTGCTGCGATGCTGGCAAGCGACAAGTTGTGCTGGAGAATGCACCATGATGCGCAGGCTAAAAAGAAAGCCTGAGCAGCAAGACAGTAAAAGCCTTAGATGTTGCACAGGAAGGAAGAGACATCGTCGTTCATGGTGCTGAACGAGGGGTGGCTGCGGATGTCGGTGACCTCGCCAGTGGTGGCGATCTGACCGCCACCGTTGCGGCATCCAGCGTCACTGTGGCAAGTTTATTAGAACTCTGATGTAATCGAATGATGGAGATGTCTTTAAAATTACTTGTAGAAGATGCAGTTGTAGCCGTTGGCGTTGAGAGAGCTGAGCTTGTCGTTCAGTCTTCCGATGGGAGAGACTAGGAAATGTCAGCTGGAAGAATCGAGAGAAGAATGAGGACTTGAAACTAACCGCAGAATCCAAAGTTGAAGTTGACAGTGTCGCAATCAGCCATGCCCTTGTCGCTGCAAAGGGTGACGCTCTGGTTAATCTGTCTTCCTTCGACTTCCTTGCTGGAAGTCTCAACAGGGGCCGCGAAGACAGCGACGGAGGCGAAGAGAAGAGAGATGATGGTCTTGGAGAACATTTTGAAAGATTTGAAAAGTTGGGAAGTGGTGAAACTTGTTGAGTTGGCAAAGAGTGAGAGATGTAAAGATTGAAGAGCTAGAAGCTGAAAGATTGTGATGATTGTTGTTGAAGAGACTGAATGAAGTGTGTGATGATGAGAAAAAAAGGGGGTATTCCCCATGGGATTCACTGATCTTTTATAGATTTGAGAAGCACCTCGTGATGTCTCTGGACTTGCTGTCCTGTCCTTGAACTTCTGCACGGGGAGTTCTCAGCCGGAGAAGTCCAGCGCAACTGACTTGTCGACAACATGATTCCGCGAAAACGAATAAGTAATCTCAAAGCCCAGGTTTCTCATTGAGAGAATTGAACCTTAGAGATTGAAGAAATAGTTGCCAAGAGTCTCGTCGACATGCCTTCACAGACTCTTGAGGCTGAGTTTAGAATCTTGGCGATTATGCATCGAGCTCAGATGGAAGAGGGTTAAATCGCGTAGAACCCGCGTACGCAGTAAGTTCGGACAAATCGTAGTTGTGTCAATTATAGATGGTTCCTGTCCTTTCGGGCAAGGTCAACGTTGGCAAAACCACTGAGTTTGGATAAAACTGCCCGGAGATGACTCGTCTGTCCACGCTAAACCATATTAACGTTATTCGTTCCAGGCTTAATCTGACAATCCAAACCACTGGGTCGGAAAAAAGCAGGCCTAGACCTCTTCGGATCTGTGCCGGATCACCACCCACGGGCCAAAAGCTGGCGCCCGTCGGGAACGGCCAAATGCTGCTTTTCTCCGCATGCACTGCTGTTACGGTGTAAACGGGCAATGTAAGGCGCAATGAGCCACGTGCCAAGCCCCTTTATATGAAGCTCCCCTCAGTGTATTCAAAAGCCGTAAAGACTACATGTAATTCCTCCATCTGAGCTCGTTTTCGTCTAGCGCCTGGCTAGGCACCAATGTTGAGTAAACACTCTGGTCAAAAACTATAATAGAGACAGCTAATATGGAGGTGAGTATCCAAGACTCTTTGATGCACTCGTGATAGCTTCAAACTGTCTTCAAGCCATGAATATGCCAAGAGTGCATTTCTGGATCGTGGTTTTTCGGTTTCGGGTCTCTCCTGAATGTCCACGCAACTCGGGATTTGAAAAAAGTCGTGACGGATTGTCTAACTTGTGAGTCTTTCGCAAAGCATACCTTGGACTTAGTCTCAGCCCCAAGAGAATGCTGGAGAGTCGACTCATCCAACATGAGAAGGGGTTGTCAGCAATAGCGGCCTTTGAAATTCACCTAAATACTCCCTCATCCACCCTTCGTCCAGTTATATCATCATTCAAACCAATCACTTGTCCATCACTCTACACTCCTTTTCCAGTCCTGCAAATCTCAAACCACCTTCTTTTACACACCACTCGCTTGAGCAATTCTTCAAGTCCTACATTTCGCCAATATGAAGTTCACCACCATCATCACCGTCTTTCTGAGCAGCCTCCTCACCACTGCAACAGCCATCGACCCCGCTGTGTACGCCAACACTTTGCAGGAACGACAAGTTGCCGGCGCCATGGAGACCCAGAACTTGGTCCGGGCCGAGAGCATCCTCAACACGGCGCCCTCCGGGTCAGTCGGCAACATCCGCAGGCGCCGTCTCCGTGAGGCTCAGGAGAGGCAGTGCGTGAAGCAGCCTGCCACGGAGTGCAACAAGTGTATGGACACCCTTGTCGGATCAGCAATCTTTGAGATGATGGAGTGCGGTATTGCGGCTCTTGGCATCGGTGCGATTGGCGGAGGTACCACCACTGCACTTGCTGCCATGGGGTTCTTGGCTTGTGACGGAGCCGTCTACAATAACTACGAGAAGGGCCTGATTGAGTGCAGAGCCTTTTAGGGGCGTATGTCGTACAATATGTGACAGCTGGTGGTATATGTACACACATCTAGTGCTTTGTTGAAGTTTACATGTATTCAGAGATTCTATCTTTTGCCAAGATTTGCTAGCGCTGCGTATGCAGCCTATCATTTGCACGATGAAAAGTTTCCGAATCCCATACTGCTGATCACGAAACGAACAAGACCCAAATGCATAGACCTAGCTGGTATCGTCATTGCAGACTTTGACCGAGAACAGACTTACAGTACGCTTTGTCGTGGGATTGGGAAATCCAGAACCGAACATCAATGTATTCCTATTCACTTCTATTCATCATGCCCTGGTATTATAGATGTAGTCTTTGGCCTGCTGACTGCATCCATTACGCTGATTCGGCAAGCGGACAGCGACTCTCATCCATCGACAACGTTTGCTTGCCTACTTTCCCTTGTACGATGAGGAGTAGGTGCGGGGGATGGATGATTGTTTGTTTGCTGATGATTTCCCCTGCCTGTCACTGGAATCCTTCTGATACATGTACGTTTCTTTGCGAAGATCGTTTGATACTGCGGCCTGCCTGCGCTTGAACAGTCTTTGAAAGGGATGATGTATCTTTACCGCCGGATCATTCAAACATTAGTCGAATTGGTAGTCACATTGAACAAGAGTACCTATGTCACTCTTGACCGCCACACTATACCATCCTCGTGGACAGCGCATTCCTATCCCGATTAGAGATGCTGTGTCACCGAATCGCTGTTCGCGACAACAAAGAAGCGCCAAGCCTGTGGCGGCACATCTGCCGACAACACCAGATATGGGACATATGGATTCGGGAATTGTCGAATATCTTCAGAAAGATCATGATAGTTGATGCTGAGGCTTATTTCCATCTATAAAAGAAGGCGTTGCGGACACCCAACTCTGGACAATACTACCTTATGTGGAAAACTCAAGCGACCTACCGTCTACCAGAATAACCCCCCCGATCTCGCCATAATATTTGCAGACGTGCACGAATACATCTCAACTTATTCAAATCACCATGTCAAATTCATCTGACAAAGCCCCATCCCCAGTTGATTCTGATCAGTCGCAAGCGACATTATTCTCGAAATAAGCAGTATGGACCACTACTCCCAGGGGGCCATGGCTTGATGGACAAGACGTTGGCTGCAAAGCCGGAGAGCCAAATGGCCCAAGCAAATCGTCTGCTGGTATCCAAGGCGGCCCCCACGCCGGTGCGGAGGGTCCCAACTCCGCACCCCAAAAGGGAGGCCATTCTGCAGGCACTGGCAGTGGTCAACACGGTGGGAGCAACAAAGACATTTCCAAACGGATACCCCACACTTCCGACGATACTCATGTATTTACACACTTGTCATACGAGGAAAGAGAGAATGAGTTCTGGGGCGAAAAGGCACAGGATCGTAAGAAAATGTTGCAGGAGGCGCTGAAAACTACTGGGTCAGCTACTGGGCCAACTGCTGAACCAACTGCTGAACCAACTGCTGGAACAACCGCTGGATCGCCAATGTCAATAGTTGGATCAACTACTGAATCGGCAATGGAAGTTGATGACTAGAAGAGGAGCGATACGTACGGAAATGCTCTGAGCGTTACAATGGAGTTGTAGTCTACTAGGTTTGACTTTGGCTAGTCTAGCTTCCTTAACAAGTACTCTTCATGTCTCACATTGACCTACCTGCTGGTGCCTGGCAGAATGCAAACTAGGTATCCCATCCAGCGTCAATTAAGTTCCCTACCTTTGCTTGAAAGAAGTCAAGCCAGATAAATCTGGGAAACGTCGGCTTTTTGCTTGTCCGATTCCTCAACGTTTGGCTCAATCAGCGAACCAATCAACATAGAGCAGCTTGATTCCCTAGCCGCCACGTTTTACCGTACCGATATACAACAAGTTTCAACTTTTGATCCGTTCGGAGACGCTGTGTTACCGAACCACTGTTCGAGACAAACTAGGATGCAGCAAGCCGATGAGGCACATCTGCTGACAGCACCAACTCAACAAAGATAAACTGAACAACCCCAGGTGGTTCATACCGGGGATGATATAAAAGACGCGTGCGTATGCTCGGCTCTGGACGACATTCTGCACACCAAGTCGGCACGAAAAGATCTCAACCACTCTACCGTCCACCACATGAAAAGAATCCAGTCTCATCTCATCGGAACTTTGTACAACCGGGAAGAACAACATCAAGATCTCAGAATATACAACTCACTCTGCTCACTGTCATTTCCACGCGACGAGGGAAGACCTCGATACCTCAAGCAAAAATGTCATCGCAATTGTTCTCATTTGAGATAGTCCACGGCGCTACTCCCGAGACGTACGACAGTTCCTACACCGGTGGCACCAATGCCGGAGACGTCAACGGCACTCCTGACTTTGCGAGTGGTACCAGGGGCGGTCGCCGCGCCCAGACCGCTGATACGTCCATACAGGGTGGTCGTCATGGGGGTGCCGGCTATGGGCATCACGGGGGAAGTAAAACAGATCAATCAGAAAAACGTCCTGTCACTCACAATGAAGCTACTCCTCAAAAGCTATCAGAGGCCAATGACAGGATCGTATACACCAAAAGATGTGACGATGCTAAAAAGAAACTTCAGCAGAAGAACGCACAAAACGCTACCGGGGCGCAATCTGGTCGTTAAAAACTAGAAAGCACTGGGACACGGGAAGAGATTCTCGGTAAAACGCAGTCATAACAAGTTAAGTTGGTCTTAAGCTAACTTCATAAATAAAAAATCATAAACGTCCCATCAATTGACGTGCCGCGATCGTACAAAACTTTGCTCATCAAACCCTAGAAGGAGCCAATAACTCCATCTACAGTCTGTCTAGACGTAATTCCTCTTTGAATGTAAATTACGTCAGCCTGGATTAGCGTACCATTTGCCCTCAAGGTGTTAATGTGTGTGGGCACGTCTACAGACTCTTCTGTAGCCTTTTGCTGATATATGAGAGAAGGAAAAATATTGATATCTGGTCTATTGAGAAAACTTGAACCTGCGAAAAAGTCAGAGCTGTTTTCCATTGGTTCTAGAATGGTCGTCAACCGAGAGATTCCATGTCTAAGTTCTGGCATGGTCTGGAGGGAATCGGAGAGATAGGTCAGAGAGATATGATGACCCAAAGTCTAGCATGTAGTACGGTAGGGTATAAAAGAGACGTATCCCATCGGGTGCTGACTGACCCCATTTTCGCCAAGGGTGGGGTAGAGCCAATAAGGGCTTGAGCAACTATTAAGTTAACCAATAGATTTCTAGTACCTATATTTCCTATAGATTCTGCGTATGCTAGAGGTACTAGCAATCTCTATCAATATATAATAGTATATTATAGTCTAAGTAGCCCTTCCGTGTTTTCTTTCGAGTGAGGGTATTCCTAGATATCTTGCCTAAACTCTGGCGGGCTCTTAATGCCTTTAGATTACTATAATAAGAGCAAGGTGAATTGACTTTCCTAGATCCCTTTTTATGGTGTTCCCATGGAATAGAGGTATTCCTTTTATCCGTAGCCCGCCTAGGTCGTGAAAGTCTTTGCCCACCTGCTAATGGTCTAAACTGTTGAATAAGCTGGGCTGCAAGCAGCTGCTGCCATTGGTAGTGGGTTTTCACCTTTTGCTACCTAGGGCTGCCCCAGAGCTGCAGTAGGAAGCTATTTATAACTACCATTTCCAGCAGGAAATTCCAGGCAATTGACTGCTAGCCCCCTCGACGAACAGGGTGGCTATAGTGATAATAGGACCTCATCTGCTCACTTATATCAACCCCATTAATCTTGTGGTTGTATTCATTAATTGCCCTAGGGATTGGTAGGTCCTTGCGGACGTCTGGGCCAAAGACTTGCCGGGCAGCCCTCTTAGCAGTGGAATTCCCAGCTGGGCGGCGGCGGCTGCGAACAACCTCCTCGCCGTTCCTGAAGACAGTTGATAGGAATAGTACAAGGGCATTATCCTTCCAGGTAAACTGGTTAACCTATTTACTAGTTAGCAAGGTAGGCTAGGCTAGGCTAGGCTGGTAGCTTACCTCCCCATTAAAAGTAGGGATATAGTGTACTTTACCCTAGGGGATATCCCCTCCTTTAGTCTCTTTCTTATTAACTAAGATCTTATCTATCCCACTATCCTTTCGGCAAGTACTAGAAGCTCTAACCTGTTGGTTCCGTAAGGTACGAAAGAGACGTATAGAAGTAAAGAGGTTATCAAGAAATACGTGGTAGGTTGCAGCTAGAAGTAGGGAAACAAGGGTAGTTACTACATGCTGTGTTGGTATCAACAGAGCCAACTTTCCAGCAGCCAGCCCAGCCAGCTGGGATGGCTGGGCCTGAGGGACTAATGCGTATAGGCCCTTTCCATGCACATGCCACAGCCACCGTATACAGTAGCCAGACTGGGCAAGGATCCAGATCTTATAGCCAGTTAGGATAGGCTTCGTTGGAACCGTCGTTGTCTCAAAAGATCGACCTGTAAATCGGACCATAGCCTCATCAACTGTAAAGTCTGAACCAGGTATATAAAAGGAGTCCCCAGTCTCTTGGATGTAGGCTGATGTCAGAGCCCTCCCGGATAGGGGCTAGTTAGAGGTAGTAAGGAGTCCAAGCAACAAAGGAGCAGCTCAGATATATATACAGCGCAGGGAGTACACGTCGAGGGAGGAGCAGATTTCAGTAATTCATCATTTTACCCCTAACTGCAGTTGGCCTCTGAGAGCTTCCACCCTGCGTCAACATCCCAACTTGACAGCTGACCACTAGTTAACCTTCCGGTATACATCTGGCATTTAATCTTAGGCCCTGGCTGGGCTGGCTAGGCTGGCTAGGCTAGAATTTAGCTATGTTAAATATCCGTAGTCGCTGGAATAGTAATTAGAAACGGTCCTGGGATATAAACCGTATGAATAGGTAGATAGGATCCTCCCTCTCCTGCTAGGTTAACCAATAGGTTAATAATCTAGATTCCCTAGGGATCCCTATATATATGGATCCCTATATATAATAAGATCCCTAGGAAGAGGTAGATCTCATCTACTAAAGTCTGCCGCCATGAATTCACTCTAGACGTTCTAGCCCTAAGGCCCTCCTTAAATAACGGCGCCGCATTCGTCCACTAGGCCCACTACTCCACGAGGCTCTGCGGAACATATTAGATAAAGAGGTCCAGCGGGCTTTCCGGCAGCTACTGTACCTCTTGGGCCCGGGCTAGCACGTCAAACGGCCGGAAAGAGCCCGGAAAACCATGCTCGGTAGCAGGAGGTTCGTGGGGCCGGACTGTTGCTACGTCACAGCGCTCTGGCGTACAGTCTGGATTACAGGCAGCAGTAAGGTCTTCAGGAAGGATCTCAACTACTATACAACTACGTACAGAAGTAATAGAATCATTAGAAGCATCAGAATCACTAGAAGACATCGCAGCATTAATCAAAATGGAGTAATAGTGGTGACAATAGGTAAAGAGCATAGAGATAAATGACGTACTGTTAAGTACCCCTTTAAATGCGGGGCAATAGTGGGTGAACAGTGGGTATTTCGTGGTCTTGGCGAAAGTGCTGTCCATCCGCACCCGATGGGATAATACCAATACTAATCAATAGTTAACTTCACAATAACCACTACTACAAGAATACTACAGATCAACAAAGATTAACAAAAGAGACGGTTACGGCTCCTCTATAAGCCCCTTCTCGTACTAACAACTAGTTTCCGGCCTCACCATAAGCCCGTTATAAATCGAACTTCCCTTTTGGCCTTACCATAAGCCTATTAGTAAAGACGTCTATCACGCTATCGGAATCGACCTTGCAGACGGATATTCTTACGTACTTACCACAGTACCCTTAAAAAAAGCCCTTTACTTAACAACGATATTTATTACCTTCCTACTTATTACCAATTTTCCCCTTTAACTTCTCTTTTTACGACTCTTATGTTACGCCCGCCGCAACTTGTCACTGTGGGCGCGTAGCTATATATGCAGAACAAGGGACAATGATGACCGGAGTCATCATTATCGAAGCTTTTGCTTTGTGCCACAGTTGGTTGCCTTGTCCAGCTCGTAACATCTTACTACGTAAAGAATTACTATATCGCGAAAAACGACCTTTAGTCCTTCTTTCCTTCTTTTTTTACCTTATATAATATATCGGAATTATAAACCTTAAACCTCACGGCTTTACTACTAATACCTAAGAGCTTCTGCAAATATATCGATCTAGCTATGTAGGGCGAATATCCTTACTTCCTTCTTAATAAGAGGGATAGCGGGAAAGTATACTCGTATATCGGGTATATAATAGCTATATGGATGTAGGAAGACCTCTATAGGCGTGGCCTTTAGCAGTCCTTTCAACGAGACTTTAAAGACTAGGATACTGATCTCTTCAATACGGCAGGCACAAATCCACTAGGGATCCTACGGGGTTATCTCCATAGCCACGGCGTCTATATGCCCAAGGATAGAGACAGAATTGCACCAAGGCTGGTGGCAATCGTCGATGACCCTTCCTTTCATTTCTGGACTCAGGAAGAGATTGAGGATGCTCAGACGACCTCCCAGACTTTCGATAGACTTACACGGGACAACATCGACTTTATCCCCAACATAGTCAGCCCAAGCAAGCGAGCTAAGATGAGAGAGATTATACGATAACGATAACGCGCTAAGAAACAACAAGAAGAAGAGGATCAACGGCTAGACTAGTTAATACAGCGACAGCTAGCTACTACTCGTAATATCCCCCTCGAATTACCTTGCCCGTCACCTTGCATATCTCAATCACGATTTATAACAGCTCTCTCCCGTTAATAGTTACCTTAACGTATACTGTAAAATGAAGACGCTCCTTCCGAACAAAAGCAAGAAGTCTTCTCACAGCACTTCGAACGACAACCTCACCTCCAGTCTGGATACCTACTGACGCAAAGATACGCGCCTATCGTCACTACCTCGCCTAATACTCAACCATCGCCACGATAACTAACTAATCTCGCGAAACTTCTTACCAACTATATAAGATACAACAGCGAGATATACGACGTATTTAACTTAAAGCTAAGGATTTTCCGCAACAACTACAACAAAGTTAGAATTACAGCCCAACAGCTAGGTCCTACCTTCTCAATTATACTCCGCGGCAAGGCTACGACCTTCTACTTTCAACAAATCTATAGAAGCGGTCCGCAAGACTTCGCCTCCATAGCTCAGAGAGTCAGAGATCACTTCGAGAACTAGGAAAGTCGCCAGAACTACCTGACTAAATAGCAGACAACTACATTCCATCAGATTACCCAAAGCCAACCCGACAAGACGAAGACCCAGGTCCTTGAAGCTCTGATCGAGAAGCTCACAGTCATCCAACAAGCCCTTCCCTCTACATACCAATCCGACGAAGCCTTGAGATCCCAGCTACTCGACACTTACGCTAAAATAAAGGAATACAGCCTCTACCTATACAGCCCATCACCTACATTAGAAAGAGTCTATAACCAACTTCGTTCGGCTATCAATACTACACTACGTATTAACAATAACCATCAATATATAGCTAAACCATCTGACCAATACTGGGTCGACCGTACCTATTCCGGTCGAGGAAGAGAGAACCGCTACAGCAACAAAAGAGGCAAAGACCCACCACCCGACCGCAAGTGCTAC